CCCTACAAACATTACAAAAGAAGAACACCTTTCCAGCACTCTCCTTCCCACATAGATTGCCGCTTACCTACCTTGTTTCCCCATCAGCTTTTACTTAAACTGCAGCTGTGACGGACACTGGGCAGGATCTCACACCATCAACCTGAAACGTCTCAGTGCCGGCCTGTGAACAGGATCTGGTGGCAGATGACAGGTCTCAAAGTTATTTCAACAATAGCACTTCAAGGGCTTTTGCTCCATCTGTTGTGGTGAATTGATACTCTATCCCTAAGGTGCCAGAAATAGAAACGCTTTATCTACTGCTAGAGTTTCCATCATCCCTTAGCTCCCTCAGCACACACAATTATCATCTCAAAGCAGAAGAGACTGCAGCACCATGAAGTCAGGTTCACACGTTTACAGAAGCCCCTCGGTTTATTTCTATTAACTATAAAGGTCCTCACAAATAATTTTCCCTTCTACGCAGTACGGCAAGAGGATTAAAGCTGCAAAGGTTCCAGTATCAGCTTAAAATCTCTGATGTGGGTGAATTTTAGACTCACAGCAGGACAGTTAAAGCAAACATGGGGGGAAAGGGACTAATCAAATACTCAGCTACCTCTTCTAGAGGGTGAATTTCCAACCACTTTCAATATTTGTGTGTTTCAGAGATTTCTGTTGCTTACATGAGCCAAGCAACTTTCTTTTCCAAGCTATCATCAGCCCATGCATGACTGGAATGCCCTCTGTGGAGAATGCACTTGTTCAAAGGAAGCCATAGAGAAAGTTTTTCCCTACTTTTTTTTTTTCCCCTTATCAACCACTGTTGACACAGTGAACAATTTGTAAAAAGTATTGAAATTTTAATTTTTAAGTGTACTACAAACTGCTGATTTTCTATAGGCACTCCAAACTGAAAGCTTTCTCCTCTCTCAATGGGGTGGGGGCTGTTTCATGCCAAGTTCCCAAAGCAGCACAGCATACGCAGTCATCGAGCAGAGGAGTGTAGCTAGGATTTTTTTTCCATTCACTATTGTCCACTTTCCATGCATAGAATCATAGAATGGTTAGGACTGGAAGGGACCTTAAAGATCATCCAGTCCCAGCCCCCCTGCCATCAGCAGGGACACCTTCCACTAGACCAGGTTGCTCAAAGCCTCATCCAGCCTGGCCTTCAACACTTCCAGGGAGGTGGCATCTACAACTTCCTTGGGTAACTGCAAAAGCAGTAAGGAGATAAATTGGACCAGCAACAGAATTTAGTCACTAAATGCTAGCCAGGTTTCAGATGAGCAAAGAACTGGGGAGAGAGGAACCTACCTTTCACGGCCACTCGATGAGAATAACCACGTGTAAGACTGGCCTCAGCAACGTTCATTAGCTCATGTGTGGTTTGTGTTTCTCAAAAACACAGACACTTCCTTACTGAGGTCCCCAAATAAACAGCTGTGAGCACTCAATAACTTTTGGTCCTTCCAAGTTTGGGTTCAGGTAGTGCCGTAGAGGATATAACTTGTATTTTATTACATGTCGGGCATTCCTATAGCACCTTTTGTCCAAAAGTCTCCCAGACCTTTCCTAGTGAGCTAAACCAAGTACTATTACTCTAAAATGAACATGACTAGGAAGAAGATTGGTTTTGGCTCTAGTCACACTCTTGCCATCCTGGAGGAAGCCTAACAGAGCTCAGACTACCAGTTAGTTGGGATCATTGCTTCGCCTCGCACCACAGCTCAAACAAATATGTAAAAAACGATGAACTGCTTGACTCTGGACATGGCACGTACATTAGAGCCTCTCTGAGGAACATGCCACATTAAAATAGCGTGGGCTGACATGAGAAAGCCACTGCAGACTCAGAGTGACTATTTTGGAAGGTGCAGGTGCATGGTAAAATTAACACCCCTGCAAACTCTATTTAAAAAAAAAAATATTGATGAGTTTAAAATGCTGATTTGGAAATGCAAATGTTTATACGTGCCTCTCCTTGCCTGTTTTCAGTGGCTTGCAGGAAAGCTCTGGACAGTACCACAGTAGCAGCTCACGAATCTGAAATCTACTGCAAAACCTGTTACGGGAGAAAATACGGTCCCAAAGGTGTTGGCTTCGGACAAGGGGCAGGATGTCTCAGCACTGACACCGGTGACCATCTGGGCTTGAATCTGCAACAGTGAGTCAAATCCTTCTGACAGCACCTTTTTCTGGTATTACTTGTCACTTAGCAGGGTATTTTAGATATTTTATTCTGTTTCCATAACAACATCTAGCATCAGCAGCACAGCAGACTTTCCTACCACCTTTCCTCCAGCAGACTCAGAAATTTACCAGTTTTTAATGATGTTCAGCCTCTTTAAACCTTCTTTTAAAATTATCACCTCTTTCAATGGGCAATTACTCTGCAGAAACAGCCTTTATATGCCACCACAGACGTAAATATTCACTGCAATTGTAATTTGCCATTAGTAGCACAGTGGTGAAGTCACATCCACCATAGAACGTATTTTTTTTCCTGGCAGAAGCTAAAATCTAGTTAGATTTTACTGTTAGAGAAATAATCACACTACCACATACTGTTAATTCTCCTCTCAATGAGGGAAAATAACATTTCTAAATCCTCCCTGTGGCTCGAATAACACTCACAAACACACCAAGAACATGTTTGAACAAAGGAATTCTAATGGGATACCATCTTCCAAAAGCCTCAGCTGCACATAATTATCTCTGACAGTACATTTTTATAGTATTTTTCTATGATTCTCAAAGCTGCACTTTTCCAAATCAACAAAGTTTTCTTCTGGTATGACTATAAGGAAACCAATATGCTATGCAGGAAATAAAAGCTTAAATAATGTATTTAACTGTAGCTCCTTGTGCGATATGAATCCACTACAGGCAGAGTCATGTATCAAAAACATTAAACATTAGATTTAATGACCTGTTGCAATCTAACAATTGATAATCAAAAGTCATTCTGTGAAAGGCTTTAAGCTAACACAAAGACATAGAGCACAAAGTCCAGAAATACAAAGCAAAGCTACTTCTCTGATGTGTTTTTGACCCCAGGACAGCTTAAAAACCTCAGTTACAGTGACTAATGAAACAACTGCATGCAAAATACAAGGGCTTCTTCTGCTCACTACTGAGTACCAGCAGATAGCCAGTTACAAAGAAGAGAGAGGTGTTTTGCTTTTATTTTCCCTTTTGCCTCTCAATAAAACTTTTTTTTTTACTTTCACTTTTCTTTTCTGCACATAGTTGCTGTCAGCTCCATGTACTCAGCCCAAAACCAGTAACATCAGCGGTTCAATCACACAACACAGAACTCAAGAGAATACTTTGATTGCAAGTCTAAGACCAGTAATTTTTATGCCTTACCAAAAAATCATTAAATCCTATGTCTAGAATGAAGATGCCATTTTAAGCAGTATTTTAAAATACTGAAAATGTCTGTTTTAGGGGGTCACCAAAGTCTGCTCGTCCTTCTACACCAACTAATCCTTCCAAGTTTGCCAAAAAGATGGTAGATGTGGATAAATGTCCCCGTTGTGGCAAATCAGTGTATGCTGCAGAGAAGATCATGGGAGGAGGAAAAGTAAGTAAAGTTACTAAAGTACTAGAAACAAAACACAGTTTTATATGCTGATAAACTATAGCTAATAGGTCTTTGATCTTTTCAATTTTTACTCATAGTCTTAATGAAGAAAACATGAGGATGAATTGGGAAATTGCTAGAGTCTGAGGTACTTTCAGGTTTAAAACCACGTGCTTTTTGTAAGCCACCCTCAACTTTTTGCATCTTGTTGATGTCTGAAGAACAGCCCCTGGCTAATGTACAGGCTGGATCTTCCACCACTGATATTCTACTACCATCTCTGGGGATATTTATAATTTAGACATTTATTTGTAGTGGCAATTACAGATGTATTAAAGAGATTATGTGACTAGAAAAACAACAGCCTGTCTCACATGACATGCTAGTTCTCTGCTCTAGGAACTCTCACCAGAATATTATCTCTGTACATCAAAGAAGTGGCCAAAACTAGAGTAGTATCTATAGCTCCCTGCTTTTTATTAGACCTCCATTAATAACAAAGTCACTAGGTAAGATCTTGATATGGGATAATAAAGTAATTAAAAAAAGACTAACCTTGAATGACTAAAAATGGAAGCCACCAGACCAACTAAACAATTGTCACCTTTTCACACCATAAAAAGCAATAGTCCTTTGTTTCTTGTATCTGCCAGCTGTGCACTTTCTGTAACACACACTCAATTGTCTTGATTTCCTCAGCCTTGGCATAAGACGTGCTTCCGCTGTGCTATTTGTGGGAAGAGTTTAGAATCTACGAATGTTACAGACAAAGATGGAGAGCTCTACTGTAAAGGTAAGAATTGGAATGAGCTGAACTGGTTTAGAGTCAATCTAAAATTAAGTCTTTTTAGATCTAGTACTGCCATCATGATTTACCTTGTTGCATGCTTAACAACTTCACAAAATTTCATTTTATCTTTTTATAACAACTTTTTGAAGGCAAAGAAAAGAGCTACTGTAACATTGCAGTTGCAACTTCTACTATTAACATTTAAAGTTGTAATTTTTCTACAAATACAACATCCTCTCAGATCCATCCTCAGACCTTCAAACAAGAACACTGGCCGTATCTGCTGGGCAGGCTCTTGAACCTGCATAATCTCTCTCACTCAAAAAACCCCCAAACCAAACCAAAAACATCTTCAAAGTAATCTGTTTAAGGTCATGGTCCTAGTTGGACTTCTTCCCATTAAGAGTTAAAAGATATTTCCACTATATTGGCAGTATAGAAGATAACACATTCATGCTAAATTATACATCCAGATGTTCTTCTCAGATCAAGAAAATTCACAGACTTCACTTGACTCTTAGAAATAGCTTAAAGGGAAAAATATGCAAAGTGTTTTATATCCTAGGCAGAGAATTCTAAAGAAGAACACTGAAGTTCTGTGGCTTTGGGTGCAGTCTGACAACTGCAAGTGATCAAATTAGCATATTTGGAGAAATATGCTGAGCGTTACCACTTCCTTTGCAGAGCTGTGATAAATAACTAGCACACATTTAGCAATACAGTTAGAATATAATGGTTTAAACTACCATCAATAGTTTCTGGACTATGGTCTAGTTCTACTTATTTACTCAGTCTATATTACTCATACAGACCAAGTTTTACTGAGTATCTTCAGACAGGAAAGTAGCTTTAATGAAAATGTTACACAGAACTTAAAATATACACAGTTTCTTATTTTTTTTTGGAGAAGATCAGATGTGACTTTTGTTTAATTCAAATATGTGATTCTAGTTTCACTATTAGAACCTGTCATCACTTCTGAGAAAGATGCTGATTCATATTTCCTTCCTTTTATTAACTTAAATTGGAAGTAGTACTAAAACCAAAAGTAATTTACCTCTATATGAAAACACTGAGAATACTATTTACTTCCCTCCTTCTTTTACAGTTTGCTATGCAAAAAATTTCGGTCCCAAAGGAATTGGGTTCGGTGGCCTCACTCAAGTGGAAAAGAAAGAGTGCGAATGAGAAGAAATGGATGCAGCAGACTCAAACTGCTGTTGATGCCACTAAGTGACAGGTGTCAAGTAAAACATTAAACATCACACATTGCTAAGAACTTAGGGCATTTGTTTAACATTTTCCACCTTGCAGGAAATACTTGTGAGCTTATTATCTTAAGAAATTCTTAGAATAGCTTAAAAAGGTACAGTGATAATACTAGATTTGTGTTTGTTGTACAATAAAAAAAGACAAAAAACCTCCTGCAATATTATTCATGGAAGATTATTGCTTCTTAAATTAGTATTTACCACAGTTTAGATTGGGATTTTAAAGACTCAGCTTACTGTCCCATTAAAATAGAGATACCTGATGGAGCACCAGGCTCAGAGTGTTCCAGTTTAGGCTGTGTTCTCCTTCGTTCAGAATGTTATGCCGTCTATATTTCTGCCAATCTCCTAGTGGCGTTTGCAACTTTATGACATTTTGTGTTATGGCCAAGTAGATTTTATTCACCTTGAGACAATTAAAAAGGATCTGAAATTCTCTCTCTCCAACAGAGATACTGCTGAAGAAAAATAACATTTTCTTAGAATACAGTGTTGTAAGTTTTGTAATTGTTTCCAAGCTACAATAAAGTACTGATATTGCTTCACGTTATTTTTACTTGAATTTGCTTGTGCTTCATGTTCTTCAGTGTCACAGATAAATAAATTTCACTGACATGTATGAAGTCCCCCATTTCTTTACAAGAAACCTGCTCCATTACACTACTTCACTCTTATGTTGTCAGTTCTAGATGCTATTTAACTTCAATTTTCCAACCTTGATCCGTTTCCCTGCTGGTTTTCATTATTACCTGCTCTGTATTACCCACACTCAAAAACACACTGCCCAGCTGGCCACTCCAGACTGATGTTGTAGCCTTTTCCTGGGAACAGGGTTGACATCTGGGAGTAATTCCCTCTTTTTATACATTGCTATTTTCCATCATCAACTTACCCATCTTCATGCACTAACAGGGCATATATACGTGCAAAACACAAGGCAAAGAGTCAGGCTTCTTCTTATGGTTTTGTGCTTACCTGTTCTTAAATACCTCACTGGTCACATATGCCTTGAATCTATTTAAGTCTGTAAAAATACACTTAGAAACATGAAAGCTCTATTTTATTACATGTAAACCCTCCAAATACAACAACTTAATACAGGTTTTCACAACATAAGCAATAAAATTACAGGGTAATTGTGATATTAAATTTTTAAATATGAACATTCTCCTTATTAAATATGAGCATTAAATTTTAAAATGTAATTTTTTTATTATCTGCAAAATAAACCAAAGGGTACAAACATGGTTTTGAAATCCTGCCCTAAAAACTTACCTTTAAAAAAATATACTCTTAGTGTCATCTCATCACAAAATTTCAAATAGTTTCAACTCAAACTATATATACACATAGAGTGACTGTTCCATATATAAACCTGCTGTAGCTTAAGCAAGATAGGTTTAGTATTTAAAACAATAATAAAAAGAAAAACAAGCAACTTCAGAAGAATTTGAAAAATTAACAAAATATCCAGTTTTATTTAGCTTTCAGCTCAGTTGTTTTAGAAATTAAGCAAAACTTCATACAGAATGAACATTTTTCTCCTTTGCCAGATGAAAAAGGTTGTATTGCTTGGTCCAGTCAACTACATTGGGTTTGAACATACCAAAGCAACTGCACTGAAAAAAGTCTGCAAGATTCTGGAAGCATCCAAGACTGAAAAATGAGAGAAATATCCATTAATAAACCTAGCAAAAAAAAGACTGCAGCCATCAAAAATACACATTCATCATGAGACAGTACTTAATATAGAAAGCTGTCAGTGAAGACAGCTCTGGGAGAAGAAATTTAAGAACAGTTCCCTATTCAGTATTATTCCTTTGTTGAACTTTTACAACCTGTATTACATTTAACAGCCAGAGTAGATTAAGTTCAACTCAAATATTTAGAAGTTAGTACTTAGTAATATCTCATCTGTTAACATACATGAGGAAACATGGATTTTTAGTATAACAGGGAAACTTTGGGACTAATTTCTCTGTTGAGCTAAATACTGCAAGAGAAGTTAGAAAGGGGCCAGTTCACACCTTAATTCTCTTTCTGAACCTACAGAACAGATACAGAGATTGATGAACAACATCCCTCACTCCCAAAACAGCATCTACTGATTAGATCAATGGACTGATTTGGGCACATTTTTTTCCTATATACACAGCCATGCAGAAAGAACCCCAGTAGCTCTTATGCTGGCTGTGTATTTCCTAGGGCAAAGGAGGTTCTCAGCAAGGAAAATGAGGTCCTTTTCCTCCTCTCAGCACAACACATAACAGGCATGACTAGCATGTCCACAGATCACCAGGTTTTTTTGCATTTATGAAGTAGTGAAGCAAATCAGTACTGAAAAGTTAATGTGCTTAAAATGCACTATTCATTAATACTCACTTGTATGGAGTTCTCCTGAGTGAAACAGGATGCTTAGATGATTTTCTCTGTATCAGGAGGTTCATTCTCTCCTGCGAGGTCAATCCCAAGAACGCAATCTTACCAAAAGGAAAAGGTCAAAACATCAACATCACAAATAAAAATTCTGGTGATATCAAAAGATACTATTGAGAAGAGAGGGAGGGGAAGAGGTTGGCCATATCTAACAAAGAAGTAACTACTGCCATAATTATTGACTGAAAAGTATGTTTTTAAATGTCACTCAGACTAAAACAGAACCCAGCAGGCTGTAAAATTAACACTTCCAGTGAGAAGGCGAGCTTAATTGGGATGACTGTAAAGACTGTACTTTTACAGATGTCAGTAGAAATTTAAGATCTATAGCAGTGAAGCACCTATCTCCTCAGACTTTGTCTGCTTACCACACAAATTGGTAGAAAAAGATTCCCCAAAAAAGACAAAGTAGCTTAGCAAAAAAGATGAAGTAGGTATCAGAGGTTCAACCATAACTACTGAATTTTCTTGATTCCATGTCTTCCTTCACTGAGTTCCACAATGAGATTTATGGTTTTTTCTGCATTTTTCTTTTCCTATTTGTTTTTAATCACCATAAAAGGCTGCAAGGGTCCTTCACTAAATGTCAGGCTAAATACCATAAAGCAGTACATTTACAAATCACTGTGTACCAAGCACAGCAGTTAACTGTAAATGTCCTACCTTGATCCCTTTTTTCCCAGGATGGTATCTCAGTGTCTTGGATGTGACCTGTGCTTGGACAGCACACATTTAAAATTGTGTATTTTTCTTTTTTCTTTTACCCAAGATGTAAAATAAGCCTTTAGCTCAGTATGCTTAACACTTATTCAAATGACACATCTTTCCTAAAAGCTGCTAAACAAGCTGTTTCCTAGATGTTTTAAGTCAGCTCTTCTAAATCTTGTTTGCATAGCCAAGCTCTCACTGAGAAGAAAATAAATGAGACATTTGACAGTCCTCATCAGGATAAAATCCAGGTCATATATTTTTATTGTAGTAATGGGATTTAATACAGTCTAATGATGCACTGCTGAGCTCTGCCACAGAATCTTCAATTCAAGACTAATTGTGCTATTGAGCTTTTATGCCATTTGTGGGGCAGTAATACCAGTTGCATTAGTCAAAGAAGTTTCTTGCCTTTAAATATATCTTTTTACAGGTTTAGATTTTTTTTATGAGTATGAAACTCAGAACTCAGTTATAGCAATGATTTGCAGACTGTGATCCTACTCTTAATATGGGAATATGCTGAGTGCACAAGTACCCATGAAACTTAAAAGCACTGCCCTGAGTTTTAAGAAAAGCATCTAGATGTGACATTAACGAGTCAAGGGAAGCAGGCACAAAGTTTTTATGGGAGCAAATTTTCTAGGGAAAAGTTCTAATACGGTGACTCTTTAAGAGAAGAGGATAAACTGAAGCAAAATAATACCTGATAAAGCTGAACAGCCAGCCACAATGAAGCCCATGCAGTATGAAAACAGGCTACTGCGAAGATGTAGGAAACCCAGGGAGAACAATGTGTTATCTGTGTGAAGTACGTCCACGCTCCGTCTCGATAATAACTTGTTGAGCAATGGCTTGACCAATCTGACAAGATGCAGAATCAGTTAATTATGTTTTTAGTAGAGGCTGCTTAAGAACTCAATATCGACTCATTTCAGCATAATGTGAAGTAATATCAAATAAAATTAACTCCCTCTACTTTTTATTTAAAAGCTTAATGCCTTGTTAATTAATCCTCAGGACCTACATTGTAAGGGCTCTCCTCTCTACTCTAAGAGATTTCTTAATTTTCCAAATTAACAGTTTGGATTTATTAATGAGATACATATTCTTCCTCTTTTCAAAGTTATCAGTACATTAAAAACAGAAAGAAACTTTTGCAAGCCTTCAATATAGATATTTCCAAATCACAAAATCAATAAAGCCCTTTGCAATAATGTATTTGCAAACTTCTTCTCTACTGCAGTAAAGTCTTTCCAGACTAGAACCTGTAACCTGACCTTCCTCCACATGGCTTCCCAATTCCACCTTTAACAAAAATGTCCTGATACTGTATTTTCCAAATGACATCCCTCTAGAGCTGTATCTTAGTTTCTACTCAATACAGCCATAATCAGATGTTTGATCAAAGTCTCAGATATTATATTATTCGAATTTAAAGACAGAATTACAAGACAACATCATTGCTGAAATATGGTATCATTTGGGCAGGTATAATTACACTTGGTAGAAACCAAATGCTGAAAAAATAAAGACCATACATACACATCCTTCAAAGCTAAATTAAAATAAATTCATGGATACATACACAGAAGAGTTCCATAAAGCAGACAGACACCAGTCAGAGTTAGGAAAGTCAGGAACAATAGATAGTAAAGATGGTTCCCAAAGCCTGTATTTGAGGCAAAGAAAAAAAATTTGACATTTTAAAATTCAGCAGTATTTTCATTTTTCCCTTAAGTTAATAGGAATAAAAAGAAAAAAAAAAATCACTTCTTACTACCTCTGCTGTTCTCAAGGAGGTTTGACAAGGCTGATTTCTTTCTCTGCTTTCCACTGTAAGCCATCCCAATTTATATAACGGAATTAGTTCTGATCAACTAGGCTTTGTCTCTTCTTCAGAGCATGCCTTCAGCTGTTTTAGCAAGGTGAGGACTAATTATGCAACCACAACTCTCCCCATGCACACTACAATTGTCTCCTATGACTGAAAAAATCTAAGCTATTCAGTTTAATTGTTTGACCTTTGTGGGCTTCAGAATTGCAAACATACACATTAAAAAAACAAACAAACCAAACTTCTCTCAGAGAAACTGTTACATTGAGATATACAATTATTCTTTTATTTAAATTACAATCAGCATTGCTCAAAGCTTTGAAACGATGCATCAGAAGGATGTCTCGCCACCTTGTAAATAGCAAACACTGTAAAAACATTTCCAAGTATTTAACATTAAAAAAAAAAGCTATTGGCAAAAGAATATGCTAAAGATACATTGCTACTGTTATAAATCTCTGACCTTTCTACCTTAAACATCAACAGTAATGAGACAGAAAGGAAGAAAGAGGGAGTTTCTCAAAGAACATACGAACATAAAAGCCCCACAGGGTTATCTCCAGACCATCTTTTCCAACCTTAATAATTCCATGATTCCATGATCTCTAGCAGTGACAACAGGCAACATTTGTTCTGGAGGACAAGCAAGCCCGGCTGCTTTCTAGAGCTCATTCTCCTCACCCACAGCTACTGCATTAAAATGTCAGGGTGTCCATGCTTTTCTAGTTCTTTTAGTATCTACTTTTGAACAAACTCTCCTAAAGTTTGTCTAATCCCTTTCTGAACCCTCTGATACTCCCTGTATCTGAAAACCCTCACAGCAGCAAGCTCCAAAATTTCACTACCTGAAATGGAAAGATATTTTTCTTTACTGATGTTAAATCCAATTGTTATTCTCACTCAGCCTCCCCTAGTTCTAGTATGATGTGCTTGATGAATAATAGTTCTGCATTCACTTTAGCCACCATCATAATCTTGGGTTGGTTGGTTGGTTTTTAAAGTCTCAGTCATATTCCCTGTTCCTTCTTCTCTCAAAAGAAAGAGTCCCAGGCTTTTTGGCCTTTACTCCTAGTGTGACCACTCCATCCCTTGAATCATTTTAGCTGCCTTTCTCTCTGCCATCTCACTAATTTCCCTCTGGCACCTAACAGTAACCCCTTCAGTATCAACTGTGTATTCTTATATCAGGTGTGCTCTCTCTCTCTAAGGAGATAAATGTTATTTCTATAACTTTTAAAATAGGTGGTATTTTCAAATTTGATAAAACAAACACTCTCACCTATGCACTGTCCAATCCACAGAGAATGCTGATCATATCTGGCTACACAAGAATCACAAGCAAGGCAATGCATAGATCTCAAAGGCTTCCTTACCTAGTTGAGGATGAAGAAAAAGAATACAGTCATAGCAAAAGCATCTACTTTGCTAAAGTTTAGAGCATCATCCCATGGGCACCATCATATTTTGTATAATTGCTGTATAACAGACTCCATAATACAGAACATAGATAAGAATACATCTTAATTTTACAAAAAGAGAGATGGAAATAATAATAATAATAATGATAATAATAATACTGCTACTTTATTAAGATTAGAGTCCAAGGATCTTAAAGCATCTCTTGTGTCACCACAAAATAAAACAAGAAATCTAAGTAATATAGAACAAACTGTGTGTGTAACACTTGCATGACAAGCAATGAGTAAAAAAGCTTTTCATAGCAGTACTGAGTAAAAGCCAGATTAAAAAAGAAAACAAATACCAAAGCCTCACTTACAAGACATGATGTGCAGAATGTTCTGAAATCCAAGCAACCTGCTTCTGCAAGAGCTACAACGTTCTGAAAGACAAAGTTAGTTTGTGACTGTATTTGAATTACATTTTCAGGGGGATTTATGAAGATTTTTACATTATGCCTTTGGCATTTCATAAGCATTTTGACTGACAAGCTCCAATAGGAATAAGAACTTGCTATTTAAAAAAGTCCAGGAGAAACACAACTGACTAAATACAACTTCACTCATGCAGGATTATTCAGAAAAGTATCTCTATGCTGACAAAATTAATAAATAATGTGAATGAAATATTCAAAATGAGATGGTAAGATACAAGGTACTCTCATACAGCCAGCCAGACCTGAGAGAGATGAGGAGAGCTGCTATATTTACTGCTCCCTTATAAGCACTGGAATGAAAACATTTACAAGTCCTGTGGCAACAAGTTAAAATTGCAGTTTATTCTCCCTGGCAATCTGAAGAAATAAAACTTCATGGAGAGCAAAGAGATCACAAACAAAATGCTTTTCCTTAATCTTCAGGTAGGGGAGAATCAAATACTAAATTCTCTACTGATTGGTTGTCCTTTATTTCTTTTTGCCATTCTCAAATAAAGCTAGGAAATAGTATGTGATTTACATGATGCTTAGGCACGAAAATCAAACCATTATACACAACCTGAAAGCATCTGACAAAACTGAAAACTACCCTTTGGTACACCTTATGAACATGGAGGATTGTAGGAAAACACTGTGATTGACTCTTTCTAACCTTAGACAACTGGAGTGGAAACCATGAAGAAATTTCTATTTATTAAGTGAAGGTCTATGTAAATTTACACCACAGATAATATCAGTGGTGTGGGTCTGTACGATGTTTGGGCAAAGTTCACACTTCAATGAGAAGATGGAGGCAAGGTAATTATGACAGGATGATGAACATAAGGAAACAAGCACTAGCAGGAGAAATTATCCATGATCTATGTTGTTCAATAACAGCTAAAAACTCAGTAATAAAAAAGGAAGAGTATTTCACTGCTTTCAAGTTTAACAAAGCAAATGACAACAAACAAATCAACCAAAAATACTTATGTTTTGCACCAGGTCAGCCCTTTCACTCCTTTCACCTACCTCTTTTCTTTCTTTTTCCGATGTCTTAATATACCCAGGATCAGCTCTCCAGGTTTTATAGAAATAATAAAGAAGACCCACCACACTGAGCATGGCAGTGATTTCAAGAATTGTACTCCTTATATGTAATATTCAGGTTAAGGAATATATTCTTACACATATTCTTATAAATATTCTCATATCACTGCTATGTGTCAGATAAAATATTCTAAAATAAGTTTATGTTATTTCACAAGCAACACACAAAAAGGAAAAGAATGACTTTCATTTTTATAGTAGTATCCTCTCTGTCCTTCAGAGGCCATCATATCAGAGATATGGAGAGACTTTTACAACTGTATAAACCTGCATCACAAAATAGCTCCCTGTCATCCTCACTAGCAGAGTGTAGACTTTTGCCTTTGTATATTTAACAGATATAAAATGAATTCAATTTCTTTTTTCCCCTCTGAAGTTTTTCTATAAAACAATACTATGCAGACATGCATAGTTATTAAGCTTCCAGCAGCTGTGAGATTTGTTTGACTGCTGCACACACCCCTATGTCATCAAACAGGCTCTTACTCGGACTGTTTTCTAAATCTTGTCCTCTCTTGGTTCAGCTAAAACAACTGAATAAATTTAGATAGAAAAGTGCAACTCCAGTCATCTTGGAACTGCCTTTGTCACTCAAAAAACCAAGCACAGACTACTACACATTTCTGAAGGTAACGGGGCAGCCACTGGGAACCCTTCTTCTCTCACAAATATACCAGAAAAAAACATGATGATGAAGTGACAAATTTCTGGTCTAAATGGACTTTTTTTTTTCTTTCATACCCTTTGCTTTTACCCAGTGGCTAGCTGTTTTAGTGACTGTAAATGGAGGGAATTCATTTCTCATGAAGTCCAGAGAAGCAGACTTAAATTCAGTATGTTTTGTATAGTTATTTGCTGCAACTTCTCTAGTAGACAAATTATTATATATGAGAGAGGATATACAGTCATTAGGAATGTAACTTTTACGCTATGGACTAAAAACATCAGGTGAAAGAGAGAAAAAAACATGTCAAGATTAACTCAAACAAGCAACAGAAGAATATGGAGTGGGACAAGTTTCACAACAATTGAATTCAAGCATTGAACCTGGGAGCTGGGGTTTCTAAAGAACAGTCCATGATGCCACCAAGGAGAAGTCAGAGGACCCAAGCCTGGGTTCCACCTCCAGCGACCACTCAGCCACCATATAAACTGCACAGTGTGAATAACTAAAAATCAAGTACTGCAACCTGAAGGTTGTTTTGTCTTACAAACTAAAAACCACTGCAAAGTAGCTCTAATTAAAAATCAAGATAATAAACTAGGAAATATTGGTGCTGTTTTTTAACAGTCTTACAGCTGTATGTGTTACAATGCAATCGCAGGGCATACATAAATCAAAATGATTTCCTGTGGATACTGCTGATCCTGGTTTTTTGGAGCAGAGAGTAGTCCTTAACTACAATGGCTGGATTTTCATTCAGACCTACACACAGGTAACTAAAATACTAAACACTTTTATAACACTCAGATATGTGACCAGTTCCAGAAGGAAAAGACATTAATAAGAAATAGGATTGGATAGTGAAATGGAAAACTATCCACTTGCCTATCCCACTAAGCGATGGTGAGTTCTTCAAGAACAGTGCTACACTCACTATCATCAGCAAAGTGTCTGACTCAAACCCCTACAGTTAGAGATTTTTAAATTTTAATTTAGATGACACCAAGAAAACCTTTAAACTTCACAACGCAACATGATTTTCATTTAGACAAGCATATGTAAGTATGCCCAGCAGGAATATACTTGATCGGTTCATCGAAGTTAATCCTGATAATTCTATTAAGGACATCTTAATTGGGAACAGTACAAAAGAAAATGTCACTTACAGGATGAAGTAATTAAACATTAATTAAAATTGTGTAGCAATATATTACAGATGGTTTAGTAGAAAAATATTTACAGTTCTAAGTATCTCCCTAAAGGCCTTTTCACAAAACTTAATCAATAAATAAACAGATGCCCCCTGTGTAACAAAAGAGCAGGGCACTGAAAAGCGAGTGTAAACTGCTAAAACATGGACGCACTCATCAATGCAAAGCAAATGAAAGCAAATGACAGACAGACATTAATGCCCTGCACACTCAGGATGCAGTGTAACCTGGGAATAAAGACAGATAGGAGACTGGAAGATATATTTTGGAGAGACATGAATAAATCTCTTCCCTATTTTTTGGGGGGTGGGGAGGGTGGTGGTTTTTTTTAAAAGCAGAAGCACGAATATCACTGTCAAATCCTTGTCATTTGAGAAAGAAGAGATGCTTTGAAAATTATTATTAATGCATGTGTTATCCAGTTATACCACATGCCAAAATACAGCACTGTATAAGAGTCTCAATGAGAAAGATTGAAGAGTCACACAGAGATGGTAACAGAGACAATTAGGTTTACAACAAAGATATTTTCATGTTTACATAAAAAATAGTTCAGAATTGTACACAAATATCTGATAAAGATAAAAGAAGGTACAGATTTTTAGTCCATATATAACTTAAAATTCAACTCAGTTATTTCACCCCTGCCCAATGGAAATAAAGCAATCTTACCAGACACTAACAGTCACATGGAATTATCTGGGACTGCTCATTACTATGTGCATGATCAGGCTTGAATTTATTAGGAACTGTAAGGAGAATTCAATTGCATTTCTTGAGTTTAAAGGATATCAGGCAGGAACCAGAAAAACCAGGTCATGGACATCCAAAAAACTGAACTTAGCAGAAATGCTGTGGGAAGATACCTTAGATTCTTGAGCCCCATGAACTGTCTGAAAGAATATTAAAAGAAAAAAGTATTTTTTTAAAATGTAACTCCATAAATCACCCATCTTGTTATTTTAAAAAACTTCTCACACACAGTATACTTTAAGTCTCTCGTAAAGCAATCAAGAATTGCCACTTAAAAGCACTCTTTAGCCAGATGCATAAGGGGGTAACAATACAAAAAACACCCTGAAGAGTGCTCTGTTCCAGCCTAATATTATAGGACAGAAGTGCTGTAGCACTAGGAAAGAAGTGTGATCTCTGTCTATCTTTACACCAATAGTATTGCCATTTCAATCAACACTGACTGTTGCAGCAATTGCTGGCTTGCAAACCAGGAAACCTGAGAAACAGCTTAGGATAACACTGGGAGGTCTGGGGAGCAGAAAGGGAGGGAATGGTTCATTAAAACTCATTCTGTGTCACAAATACAGAAGGAGAAGTTGAGATAAAGCACATTTCTGAGTATTGTGAATTGGTATCTCAGTGTCTACCAGGTGCAGACCTTCAATAACACTCTCTTTAGCATTAAAATCAGCTAACACACTGCTTAAACACTTCAGTGGTTTGTTTCAAATTTTTCAGTGATGAGAAACTATTATTTTTGCACACCTAAAGATATTCAATTTCTAGGGTAATTCTAAAAAGTACATACAATTAAATCGTTCACATACTCTGAAACTATTTCTCAAGAGGTATTTTTTACACTAAGTGAAACTAAACTCTGAAAAGAATATTACATTAGATACCTTATATTGTGTCTGTAACAAGAAAATACATATAGAGAGAAAAAGCCACAAACCTCACAAACAGAGCCATCCCAAACAGCAGGAAGAGAAGCAGGGCTCCTTTCAAAAGCCAAGAATCAGAACTTAAGTTCATTATGTATCCTATGGCCCACATCAACGTCAAGGAAGATGCCAACATCAGGAAGAGCTATTAAAATAGTTATTGTTAAAATATGACAAAGTATTCAAGCAGAACTTACTTCAGAAGTATTCAGATAATGCAATAACAAATGCTGGAAGACTCAAGGTAGATAAGACAAAGTGACAAAGAAATACCCCAAAGGGAGGTGGGGGGAATGATGCTAAACCCCCACCCAAACCAGTGCAACATGCTTTTAAAGAATTTTTTGTGTACTCAATTTCAGAAACCTTAGAAGATCCTCGTTAGAAAAGAGTTAAGTTGCATGTTATTCTAAAGATGGAATGCTGTAGCTTGATTGCCATTAGTTATTACTCGTGAAATTACCTCATATTTCTCTAGTATTTTCAGTAACCTGTTATTTCTTCTGCTTCTCATTCTTTCTTCCTCTTTTACCATATAAACTATGAAGCGATTCACACTTTGGTAAGCAAGGTCAAGCGGTGTCTCTCCCTTTAACAACAGAAATGTTTATTTCTTTATGCACATAACACATCAATGCTTTCCTTTTTAACAGAAGCAAGAAATAAATATAGCTAAAACAAGAATAACTTGGCAATTACTTCCCCCTTCTCTCTTTTAATTTTTTAAAGGCAAGGGTAAGCTAAATTCAGAGTTTTAACACGCTTAATCCAGTGATTTGTAGTTCTAAAACCTGATACTTGCAACCAGATTGCACTCGAGTTCTCTGTTGGACTATCTCCAATAACTTGAAACACTGAACGCTGCTAGAATATGACATGCTTACTGAAAGGGAAGGTTTCTTGTTTATGGTAACTTTTTAAAACCAAACAGCAATATTCTAAGAGTCATACATACAAATAAAAAGATGCAAAGCTGCACAGCTTAATACACAAACCCTGAATAACTACACTGTAGGGGGGGAAGGAAAAGGGGGGGAAGGAAAA